AGGGAATTTCCATTCAAAACCCCCCAGATTTGGTGTCCCTGAGCCCAGATTTGTGTGTTTGGGGGTTTCCTGCAGGGGATTTTGGGGTGAACCCCCTGGATTTGGTGTCCCTGAGCCCAGATTTGTGTGTTTGGGGGTTTCCTGCAGGGAATTTTGGGCTGAACCCCCCAGATCTGTTGTCACTGAGCCCAGATTTGTGTGTTTGGTGAGTTTTTGCAGGGAATTTTGGGCTGAACCCCCCAGATCTGGTGTCCCTGAACCCAGATTTGTGTTGGCAGGTGGTCTGAGCGCAATCACCGCGAGAAGATCGGGGTGCACGTGCTCTTTGAGCAGGTGCTGGACATGGAGCCCTACTGCTGCCGGGACTGCGTGCCCGCCCCGGCCCCGCGCTGCCTCTACGACCTCTCGGCCGTGGTCATGCACCACGGCAAGGGCTTCGGCTCGGGCCACTACACAGCCTACTGCTACAACACGGAGGGAGGTGGGTGAGCTGCCAGCCCCCCCAGCCCCCTCCTCTTCCTCATTCCCTCCCCCGGAATCCTTCCCAGGGTGCCCCTTCCTTGGCATCCACGCCTTGCCCGTCAGTAGTTTGTTTTTCCTGTTGTATTCTTATTTTTTTTTCTGTTTTTCAGCGTTGTCGTGGTTTGACCCTGGCACCCATGAAGGGTGTGTTTCCAAAATGGTTGCTGTGAGATGGGACCTGAGAACAGAACAAAGCAGGCTCCCATTGGGGGATGGAGGGAAAAACACAACACTTTATTCCTACAAATCTAGAAAGGAACACGTACAAAGCTAAGGATGAAACTTTCCAAATACATTCCTCCTCCCCTTTCTCCTCAGGTTCACCACCCTCAAATAATCAACTTTCAAATCACATGCCAGTTTTGAATTTGGCCACTGATTGGCCCAACCTAGACCTTTCCAGAAACACATTTCCAGGCCAAACCACGACAATTGTTTATTTTTGGGGTTTTTTTTTGTTTTGTTTTGTTTGTTTTGTTTTTTCGTGGGAAAACGAAAAATTTTTCATTCTGCCAGAGTTGCTGCAGCTGGGTTTGCTCAGGATCCTGGGGATTGAGGAGATGAACAGAAAGTGTTTTGAGGCTGGAAAAACAGGAACCATTCATGAGCAGCATCCGCAGGGGGCTGGGAGATCCCAGCAGCTGGATCAGGACGGGCTCTGCCTTCCTGCCTGCACAAACTGGGAATTTTTGGCTGCATAATTGAGCTTTTGGGCTGATAAAATGATTATTTGATATTTCTAAAGCACCTCAAAAATTTCTATTTTAAAAACTATATTAAAGTTTTTCTAAAGCACCCCACAAATTATATTTTAAAAACTATATTAAAAATTCTATTTTTAAATTTATATTTAAAATTATATTTTAAAAATTATATTTAAAACTATATTTTAGATTTATGCAAAATTATATTAAAATATATTTAAACAATTATATTTAAATTATATAAAAATTATATTTTAAATTCTGTTAAAATAATTTTCTAGCTTAGAGAAAAAGACAGAGGTGCCTTTTCTGCTGGGGATGTTTCCTGTGAGCAGTTCCAAAACCCTGAGGGATCCTAGGAGGGTTTTTTCCCTTTTTTGCCAGGTTTTTGGGTGCACTGCAACGACTCCAAACTGAATGTATGTAGCGTGGAGGAGGTGTGCAAGACCCAGGCCTACATCCTCTTCTACACTCAGAGAACGCCGCAGGACAGAGCAGCAATCCCACACAAACAGCTCCCAACTCAGGTGTTCGCCAGCCAGGAGCAGTGACAAGGACACAGGAGTGGCACTGCCACCAGGGAAACACGGCCAGCTGCTGCGGGAACGGGGCGTGCACCCGCCCTGAAAGGGGGCACTGCGGGGTGGGATCGGGGATATGGGATCAGGGATATGGGATATGGGATCAGGGATGGGATCGGGGATGGGATCGGGGTGGGATCGGGGATATGGGATATGGGATCGGGGATATGGGATCGGGGATATGGGATCAGGGATGGGATGGGATCAGGGATGGGATCAGGGATGGGATTGGGGATGGGGCAGGGATCAGGGATCGGGGATGGGATCAGCTGGGATGGGATCAGGGATGGGATCAGGGCAAGGATGGGATCAGGGATCAGGGATCAGGGATGGGGCGGGGATGGGATCAGGGCAGGGATATGGGGCAGGGATGGGATCAGGGATGGGATCTGGGATCAGAGCAGGGCTGGAATCAGGGCAGGGATGGGGTCAGAGCAAGGAGGGGATCAGGGATGGGGCAGGGATGGGATCTGGGCAGGAATGGGATCAGAGCTGGAATGGGGTCACAGTAGGAATGGGATCAGAGTTGGGATGGGATCAGGGATGGGATCTGGGATCAGGGATCAGCACAGGGATGGGATCAGAGCAGGGATGGGAAAAGGATCAGGGATGGGATCAGGGCAGGGATGGGATCAGGGCAGGGTTGGGATCAGGGATCTGGGCAGGAATAGAATCAGAGCACAGGGCAGGAATGGCATCAGAGCTGGAATGGGATCAGGCAGGAATGGGATCAGAGCTGGAATGGGATCAGGCAGGAATGGGATCAGAGCTGGAATGGGATCAGAGCTGGAATGGGATAAGGCAGGAATGGGATCAGGCAGGAATGGGATCAGGCAGGAATGGGATCAGAGCAAGATGTTTGGAAGGCCTCCTGGAGGAGCTGGGCAGTTCAGAATTTGGGCAGAATCTTGGGTTTTGGGTGTCTTTCTGGCTCCAAAAAGAAAAGAAATGATGAAGTTTGATGCTGTTCATTCATCCCCTATCAAAGAGGAATGAAACAGGAGAATCCCCCTGGATCAGCACCCCCCAATCCCTAAAAATCCTGCTCCACCTCCAGGAGAGCAGGTACAGCACCCCTGAGTGGCCTGCAGCACCCAGAACTGCTCCTGCTGGAAAAACCTTGGAATTCTCCTCAACTCCTCCCTCTGCTGCCCCTGCAACTCCAATTCCTGGGCCTGAACTCAGCCGGCAGCTAAATTCCCTGAAAAATGGGATTTTCATGGAGTTCTGCTGTGGAGAAAATGGGGTTTAGCCCCCAAAAATGGGGCTTAACACACAAAAAATGGTGTTTAGCCCACAAAAATGGGGTTTAACACACATAAAGTGGGTTTGAACACACAAAAAAGGGGTTTAGCCTCCAAAATGAGTTTTAATCTCCATCAATGTGTTTTAACACACAAAAAATAGGGTTTAACCCTCAAAAATGGGTTTTAACAAAAAAAAATTGGTTTTAACCCACAGAAAATGTGCTTTAACCCCCAGAAATGGGTTTTAGCACACACAAAGTGGGTTTTAACCCCAAAAAAATGTGGTTTAGACCCAAGAAAAACCCCAGGAATGTCCCTGAGTGCCACATCTGGCAGCCAAACCAAGATGGGGTTTAACCCTCAAAAATGGGTTTTAGCACACATAAAGTGGGTTTTAACCCCAAAAAATGTGTTTTAGACCCAAGAAAAACCCCAGGAATGTCCCTGAGTGCCACATCTGGCAGCCAAACCAAGCCTGAGCTCCAGGTTTCTGCTGGATTGGGAAGAGTTTCCAAAAGCTGTGGCAGCAGAAGTTGGAATTGGGGGAGAATTCCCCTTTTTTTGTACAAACGTGGCTGCTTTTCCTCAGGGGAGTGGGGTGGTGGCAGTGCCACATCCAGGGGGGCTCTGTCACTGCTTTGGGGTGAAAAATCAGTGCAAAATGTCATTTATTGGGTTGGCACAGGGCTGGTGCCACCTTTGGGGGTCTCTGCTCCTGCAGGGCCACCCAGGGGGAGGAATGTGAAATCCCAAATTCCACGAGGAGCTGGGAAAGCCACAAAAACAAAAAGTCTGTATCCGGAATCAGCCTGATTTTGGGAATTCTGTGGGGGAAAAAAAAGAGCCTTAGCTGGACTATTTACAGTCACTTCTACAGTTGCACCTCAGGTGTGGTTTTTGTAATTTTGGGGCTTGGCTGTTCACATTTCACCTTTTAATCTGAATATTAGACCTGATGTCTGTTCATCTGGGTTATTTTTTTTAATAATCAAAAATATGGGGTTGGTTTTTAAAAAAAAAATGCAGTTTTGAGGCAGGGAAGTTCTCCAAGTGTTTTTCCTCTTCCTTTTTTGCTCCTTTTGTCTCATCAGATAAACACAATCTGCCAACCTTTGTTGTTGTGGGGGAAAAGCTCCCAAATCCCACTTTTTCCTGGGAATTGCAACCTCCTGTCCTTGAGCAAAGTGAGCACAGCAAGAGAAAACTTGGATTGTGTCAGAGAAAAATTCCCAGCTCCATCCCAGGCTGGATTTCAGCTCCATCCCAGGCTGGGTTTTCCCTGGATTTCCATCCCAGGCTGGATTTTCCCTGATTTCCATCCCAGGCTGGGTTTCCATCCCAGGCTGGGTTTCCCTGGATTTCCATCCCAGGCTGGATTTTCCCTGGATTTCCATCCCAGGCTGGGTTTCCCTGGCAGCAGCAGCTGCTGGGTCCCAGGGCTGGGCCCTTCCCTGTGTCTCTCTTGGGTGTGAAATAGAAATCATGTTTTTATGATTTTTGTTTTTTGTAAATCTTTACTCTTTTTACACCTTGTTTTTTTTTTGTAAGCTGAAGTTTCTGAATGAGTCAAAGAAAGAATGGGAAACCAATTCTTCCTCTCAGCATTCAACCTTTTGTCCTTGTCACTGCTGCTGGCAGGACAGGGGCACCAGAGCAGCTCCAGGGGGATGTGAGCAGATCCAGAGGGATCTGAGCAGCTCCAGGTGGGATGTGAACAGATCCAGAGGGGTCTGAGCAGCTCCAGGGGGATCAGAGCAGCTCCAGAGGGATCAGAACAGATCCAGAGGGATGTGAACAGATCCAGAGGGATCAGGGCAGCTCCAGAGGGATGTGAACAGATCCAGAGGGATCAGGGCAGCTCCAGAGGGGTCAGAGCAGCTCCACAGCTCCAGTCCTGGCGGGATCTGAGCTCTGCTCCCAGCAGCTCCAGCTCCTTCCTGGGTGGGTTGTGTTGTTATTCCATAAAATTTAATAAACATCTGGGGGTGGGGGGTACAGGAGGAAATTCCATGCACATCCTCGAGGAAACAATTCCCAAAGGAATGAGTCAAAGAAAGAATGGGAAACCAATTCTTCCTCTCAGCATTCAACCTTTTGTCCTTGTCACTGCTGCTGGCAGGACAGGGCACCAGAGCAGCTCCAGGGGGATGTGAGCAGATCCAGAGGGACCAGATCTGCTCCAAGCGGGGTCTGAGCAGCTCCAGGGGGATCTGAGCAGCTACAGAGGGATGTGAACAGATCCAGAGGGATCAGGGCAGCTCCAGAGGGATGTGAACAGATCCAGAGGGATCAGGGCAGCTCCAGAGGGGTCAGAGCAGCTCCACAGCTCCAGTCCTGGCGGGATCTGAGCTCTGCTCCCAGCAGCTCCAGCTCCTTCCTGGGACAGGAGTCAGCCCTGTCAGGGGAGCTGGCTCTGCTCTGAAGTGTGGGTGAAGGGAGGTTCTGTGGGGTTCTGTGGGGTTTGTGTCACTCGGGGGGCACAGCGCTGTCCTGGGGCCAGGCTGGGTCTGGGGGCTGCAGCCCCAGACTGCTGGGCAGGGACAGCAGCCAGGGAAGGGCTCGTTTGGGGCACTGAGGGGGCATTTGGGGCACTGAGGGGGCATTTGGGACACTGAGGGGGCATTTGGGACACTGAGGGGGCATTTGGGACACTGAGGTTGGATTCTGGGAAAGCTTCCTCCCCCAGGGAATGGGCTCAGCCCTGAGGCTGCCAGAGCTCCCCAGAGTGGGATTTTGGGATCTCAGTGGTGTCCAGGTGGGATTCTGGGGTGTCTGTGCAGGCCAGAGTGGGATTTTGGGATCTCGGGGACACCCAGGGGGGATTTTAGGCTCTCAGGGATGCCCAGGTGGGATTTTAGGATCTTAGAGATGCCCTGGGGGGATTTTGGGCTCTCAGGGACACCATGGGGGGATTCTGGGATCTCAGGAGTGCCCAGGTGGGATTTTGGGATGTCAGGGATGCCCAGAGGGGATTTTGGGATCTTGGGAATGCCAGGTGGGATTCTGGGATCTCAGGGATACCCAGGTGGGATTCTGGGGTGTCTGTGCAGGGCAGGGGCTGGGTTTGATCCCTGTGGGTCCCTCCCAGCTCGGGATGTTCCCGGTCCCGCCCCCTCGGTCCCTCCCCGCACCCACCGGGCTACGGGACGGGCTGCGGGGCCATCAGGTCGATGTCGGTCAGGTTCCGGGCCACCCACACCCCGGCGGCAAACAGCCCCAGGTTCAGCAGCAGGTTCCTGCAACCACAAAACCCCAGAAGCGCTCAGCTGGGACAAGGTTTTGGGAAAGTTCATCCCAGTCCAGGCTGTGCCCGACCCCCACCCTGAACCCGCTCCGGCCCCAAAATGTCCTCCCTGAGGCGAGGAGCGCGAACCTCAGGGCCCGAGGGACGATCCCCGCCCCGCTCCTGAGGGCTCCCGATCCCTGCCCCGAGCCCTGCTCCGGGCCCGACCTTGACCCGACCCCATCCCCGGTGCCGCTCCCGGTGCCGGTGCCGACCTGCGGAAGTCGTTGCGGTCGGTGGCGAAGCGGAAGGCGCTCCGCAGCCAGGCGCGGATGCCCCGCGGCGGGACCGCCGCCGCTCGAATTGCATCGGGAACGGTTTTGGGAACGGTAACGGGATCGGGATTGGGAACTGGAACGGGATCGGGAACGGGATTGGGATTGGCATCATCCATCCATCCGTCCGTCTGTCTGTCTGTCCATCCATCATCCATCCATCCATCCATCCATGGATTCCATCCATCCATCCATCATCCATCCATCATCCATCCATCCATCATCCATCCATCCATCCATCCATCCATCCATCCATCCATCCATCATCCATCCATCCATCCATCCATCCATCCATCCATCATCCATCCATGCACACATGTCCTGTATGTACCTGACACAAAGCACAGGTTGGTATTTCACAGCACCTGCCTGGCAGGGTTTAGCTCCGCTTGGCTTTGAGTTCCCCCGTCCACCCCTTTCCTTTGCTGGCATTTGGGATGGGGGAGTTCACCCAGGCTCCCTTTTCCCCTCTCCTTTATCAACATTTGGGATCAGGGAGTTCACTCTACACCCAGGCTCCCTTTTCTCACCTCTTTTATTAACATTTGGGATCACCAACTTCACTCCAGGCTCCCTTTTCTCACCTCTTTTATCGACATCTGGGATCAGTGAATTCACCCTGGCTCCCTTTTCTCACCTCTTTTATTAACATTTGGGATCAGTGAATTCACCCTGGCTCCCTTTTCTCACCTCTTTTATCGACATCTGGGATCAGTGAATTCACCCTGGCTCCCTTTTCTCACCTTCTCTGCTGACATTTGGGATCACCCAGTCTCCCTTTTCTCCTCTCCTTTATCAACATTTGAGATCAGGGAGTTCACCCAGGCTCCTTTTTCTCGCCTCTTTTATTAACATTTGGGATGGGGGAGTTCACCCAGGCTCCCTTTTCCCCCCTCCTTTACCAATATTTGGGATCAGTGAGTTCTCCCAGGCTCCCTTTTCTGCCCACATTTGCTGACATTTGGGATCACCAAGTTCACCCCAGGCTCCCTTTTCTCCTCTCTTTTATCAACATTTGGGATCAGGGAGTTCATCCTACACCCAGGCTCCCTTTTCTCCCCTCATTTACCAACATTTGGGGTCTGCGGGCTGAGCGGAGCCCCCTCCCCTCCCGATCTCCTCACGCATCCCTGGCAGTTCATCCCTGGCAGTTCACCCCTGGCACTTCAGCTCATCCCCGTGTCCCCAGCTCCCCGAGGATGCCGGAATCCGCGTGGCCGCCCCGACCAGTTCCGACCAGTTCACACCAGTTCCGCCCAGTTCGTTATCAGCGCGTCCCAGCCAAACCCCCCGCGGCAGCCGGGCCAGGGAGGTGACAAATCCCCGGGGCAGCCCCGGAGGGGATGAGCTGGGTGGGCAGGGCTTTGGGTGTAATGAGGGGTAATACGTTTGTTCATTAATTAAATCAATAGCTAAGTAACTGTGAAAAACGCCAGTCACTTGGTTTTGAAATTTTAAAAGTAATAGTAATAAAGTAATAGTTTAATATTAGTTTATTACTATTTATTAACAGTAATAAAATGGTTATAAAAATAGTTATATAAATAAAATAATAAAATTTGAACATTTGGGATTAGGACAATATGAGACAATAAAAACAAAGAGATACGGACGTCCAGGAAAATGGATATTGGAGGATGGACGGGAGGTTCTGCCCAAGGCTGTCGCACAACGCACACTGCACAAGATACACCAGAAAATACGCTGGGGAGCACCAGGGCTAGTGGACCATTTTGCCACGAAATATCTGAGTATTGGACTTCATGATATGGCCAAACATGTTACGAAGGGATGCCCTACTTGTTTGCGGGTAAACCGAAGCAACTTGAGAAAGCTGCCTTATGGGGGAAGACCATTAGCAAAAAGACCCTTTTCCAACCTACAAATAGATTTCACTGAATTGCCAAAGATGGGAAGAGTCAAATACCTCCTAGTAATAGTGGATCACTTAACTCATTACCAGAGACTATCGATTCTGACAGAGGTCCACACTTCACATCTAAAATAACGAAAGAATTGGCAAGGTCACTAGGGATAAGATGGGAACACCATACTCCCTGGCACCCCCAAAGTTCTGGCAGAGTAGAACGAATGAATGGGGAAATAAAAAAAATAAAATAAAAAAAAAAACAACGGGCTAGGCAGAGGAATAATTCATGGGGAGGGGCGACTCCTACGCGGCACCAGAAACAGAGACCACAATCTGACAATAATGGAACTGGGCGAGGGGAATAACAGAGGGGAGATGACAGGGCAAAGAATTAAGAAAATGAACCATTCTGGCAGTGAGTACTTCCACTTTTCCAGGTGGGGTTGGAGTGTGTGGATAATGCTAATGGTATCAGGGGCAAAGGCCAATGTATCGCATGAACCCTTCAAATGGTCACTCATCCAGTGGGAGAATCAACAACTTCAGGAGCCCTAATCGTCAACTGTGTAGCATTATCCCGACGACTCAGCCTTGTTTAAACTGTAGATATTGGGGTTGTGGAACTGTAGCTTATGGATTCGTTCCAGGAGGAGGGAGGGACCCATATATAACAGTCGGTTGGTACCCATGGTCCTGCACTCCTCCCCAGCTTGACTCTGGTGGCGCGATACTAGGAGATAATTCTGGGAATTGTGTAGGTATTCGGGTTAATGTGACCCAGAAAGAAACTGATGACCCAGTTTGGGTAATAGGGAAGACCTGGGGAGCTAGACTCTGGGAACCGGGAAAAGATCGAGGAAGATCTTTTTCAGATCACTTTCTGATAAAGAAGGAGCCAATTCCCCATGATCCACACCCTATAGGGACCTAATCCTGTGATAGGATCTGCAGGGACTGAGGGAGCCAAAAGGGAGAACACCACTGATAACAACCCCACCAATCAGACGGGTAACAAAACGTTCACGGGTTTAAATCATACATATCCAAATCTTACAGATGGGTGCTGGTTATTTTCTAACAGATTAATCGCTATTGTAAGAGGGAGGAATGGAAGAATATTTAGAGTTTAGTAGAAAAGCTAGGTTCAACGGACAAAAAGATTGATAAAAAAAAAAAGGGGGGGATTGTGAAAGGGTGGTGGCCTCTCTTTTTGCCCGTTGAATGTATAACTGCATTGCATAGCAAAATATGAAATAGTTGAGCAAGAATTGGGAAATCTACTGTGCAGGAACCGGCTGCTCAAGCATGATTAGCTGAGCTGACCGTAACCACAGATGCCTGTTTTAAGCATATTAACCACAGATGCCTGTTTTAAGCGATATTAACCACGGGTGCCTTTTTAAGCAATATTATAGAACATAGGTTAAATAAGCCAAAGGGATACGAGCGAGGAAGACGACGAGCCTTTATCGAACGACCACCAGGAGGCAGATGAAGACCCCCTAGCAACAAGGAGAACACGCTCAGATTCACCGGAAGGATGACTTGAAACCCAGAAAAGGAGCTGTTCAAAAAGGGGAATGGGGGGAACGGGACTCGCGGCAGTTGGTGGAGCGGGGACTCCCCTGTCGCCCAGCGCTGTGCTTTGCTTCTCTTATCCTCTATTAAACATTCTGTTGATTGGCGTTATGACCCACTGTGTTCATTTCATAACAATATGATCCTTAAATTCAGCGGACTTGTTTATCACGCAGGGGTTTGGGAGACCCTCCGCGCCGGGAGGTGACAGACGGACAGACGGACGCGCGGGGAGGTGACGGCGGCCCCCCCGGCACGGCAGCAGAGGTGGGTGCCGCGGAGCCCGGGCCCGGCAGGGCTCTCCAAACCCTCCCACCCCGCCCCGTCCCCTCCTCCGCTCTGCTCCAGCCCCGCGAGTGGGGGTCCCGCTCCCCGAAATGCCCCGGGGGTGGGTGCGGGAGCTGGAGGGTGGCTGGAGCTGGGGGGCTCCTGTCCTGGGGGACCCCAGGATCCCTTTTTCCATGGACATTCCATGTCCTGGGGGTTCAGGATCCCCTTTTCCATGGATATTCCATACCCTGGGGGTGCAGGATCCCTTTTTCCATGGATATTCCATACCCTAGGGGTGCAGGATTTCCCAGGATCCCCTTTTCCATGGACATTCCATGTCCTGAGGGACACGAGGATCCCCTTTTCCATGGACATTCCGTGCCCCGGGGGTGCAGGGACCCCCTCAGGTGCCCCCGGGTGCGTTTTGCGGCTCTTTGCTCCCCCCGCGGTTCCCGCAGGAGTTCGGATCCGCAGGAATCCGCAGGGATCCGCAGGGATCCGAAGGGATCCGCAGGGATCCGCAGGGATCCTCGGGGATCGGCGCTTCCCGGCCCCGCGCGCTCCCGGGGGCGGAATCAGCGCCGGGAGCGCGGGGGGAGGAAGGGAAACTCCCGGGGAAGGGACGGGAGAGCTCCGGAGGGAGCGGATCCCGGCGGATATCGGTGTGGAGCGGCACCGGGCTGCGGGCCGGGAGGGCTGGGGCGCAGGATCGGGGTGCAGGGAAGCAGGATTGGGGTGCAGGGGAGGATTGGAGTGCAGGGAAGCAGGATTAGGGTGCAGGGAAGCGGGAATGGGGTGCAGGGAAAGATTGGGATTCAGGGAAGCAGGACTGGGATTCAGGATTGGGATTCAGGGAAGGTTTGGGATTCAGAGGAGCAGGGCTGGGGTGCAGGGAAGGATTTGAATTCAGGGCTCTCCAACCCCTCCATGCCCCAGTGCTGCTTTGCAGGACCTGAGGCTGACACCCCCCAATTTAGGGACAAAAACGGGGTTTCAGCCTGGCTGGGGGGGGCTCACCCAAGCCCTTGGGGACACAAAGGGCAAGGCAGGCGAAGGGGCTGCCAAGGCACTGCCAGTCCCGTGTCACCCCCGGGGGACAGCCAGCGGGTCTCGCTGTCCCCAGCTGCGCCGTGCCCGTGCCGGTGGCCCCGGGGGTGACCCCGGGGTGGCAGCACCGCGGGTGGCACCGGGCTGGCCGTGTCCCCAAGCCGGCAGTGACGTGCTGTGGGACGTGCTGAGCCAGCCCTTCCCCCGCAGCGGCTCCCGCAGCTCCTGGGGCCGGGCCGGCCCTCGGGAAGGATGTTCCCCCCGCCGGGATGCAGGAGGGGCTTCCCCAGGGAGGTACGTGCGGCTGGGGGCTCCTGGGGCTCTCCTGGAGCTCTCCCAGGCTCTCCTGGATCTCTCCCAGGCTCTCCTGGAGCTCTGGATCGGGGTGCAGGGGAGGATTGGGGAGCAGGGAAGCGGGAATGGGGTGCAGGGAAGCAGGATTAGGGTGCAGGGAAGCGGGAATGGGGTGCAGGGAAGCGGGAATGGGGTGCAGGGAAGCGGGAATGGGGTGCAGGGAAAGATTGGGATTCAGGGAAGCAGGACTGGGGTGCAGGATTGGGTGAGATTCAGAGGAGCAGAATTGGGGTGCGGGGGAGGATTGGGGTGCAGGGAAGGATTGGGATTCAGGGAAGCAGGACTGGGGTGCAGGATTGGGGCGCAGGGAAGCAGGAATGGGGTGCAGGGAAAGATTGGGGTGCAGGGGAGCAGGATTGGGATTCAGAGGAGCAGAATTGGAGTGCAGGGAAGGATTGGGATTCAGGGAAGCAGGACTGGGGTGCAGGGAAGCAGGACTGGGATTCAGGATTGGGATTCAGGGAAGGTTTGGGATTCAGAGGAGCAGGGCTGGGGTGCAGGGAAGGATTTGAATTCAGGGCTCTCCAACCCCTCCATGCCCCAGTGCTGCTTTGCAGGACCTGAGGCTGACACCCCCCAATTTAGGGACAAAAACGGGGTTTCAGCCTGGCTGGGGGGGGCTCACCCAAGCCCTTGGGGACACAAAGGGCAAGGCAGGCGAAGGGGCTGCCAAGGCACTGCCAGTCCCGTGTCACCCCCGGGGGACAGCCAGCGGGTCTCGCTGTCCCCAGCTGCGCCGTGCCCGTGCCGGTGGCCCCGGGGGTGACCCCGGGGTGGCAGCACCGCGGGTGGCACCGGGCTGGCCGTGTCCCCAAGCCGGCAGTGACGTGCTGTGGGACGTGCTGAGCCAGCCCTTCCCCTGCAGCGGCTCCCGCAGCTCCTGGGGCCGGGCCGGCCCTCGGGAAGGATGTTCCCCCCGCCGGGATGCAGGAGGGGCTTCCCCAGGGAGGTACGTGCGGCTGGGGGCTCCTGGGGCTCTCCTGGAGCTCTCCCGAGGCTCTCCCAGGCTCTCCTGGATCTCTCCCAGGCTCTCCTGGGGCTCTCCTGGAGCTCTCCCAGGCTCTCCTGGATCTCTCCCAGGCTCTCCCGGAGCTCTCCTGGAGCTCTCCTGGGGCTCTCCTGGGGCTTTCCTGGGGCTCTCCTGCTCTCCTGGTTCTCTCCTGGGGTTCTGGAGCTCTCCTGGAGCTCTCCCAGGGCTCTCCTGGAGCTCTCCTGGGGCTCTCTGGAGCTCTCCTGGATCTCCCCTGGAGCTCTCCTGGAGTTCTGGAGCACTCATGGATCTCTCCCGGGGCTCTCCTGGGGTTCTGGATCTCTCCCAGGGCTCTCCTGGATCTCTCCTGGGCCTCTCTTGGGACTCTCCTGGGGTTCTCTTGCAGCTTTCCCGGGCTCTCCTGGGGTTCTGGATCTCCTGGAGCTCTCCTGGATTTCTACTGGGGCTCTCCTGGGCTTTCTTGGATCTCTCCCTGGGCTTTCCTGGATCTCTCCTGGGGTTCTGGATCTCTCCTGATCTCTGCTGGGGTTCTGGATCTCTCCTGGATCTCTCCCTGGGCTTTCCTGGATCTCTCCTGGGGTTCTGGATCTCTCCTGGGGTTCTGGATCTCTCCCAGGGCAGGGTGGGAGCCCAGCAGCGCCCTGGGCCCACCGTGGGTACCCGCTGCTCCCTCTCCATCCCTGGGGATGCCGAGGATGCAGGAGAACGTGGCGCTGTGAGAACATTCCCGGAGGAATCCGGGATCCCCCGGGCTCCCCCAGCACAGCCCCGTGGCCCCTGGCTCCCCATCCCTGCCGGGACTGGGGGGTCTCAGGGCTCTGATCTCCCCACAGCCCGCCCCGTGGTGGGATGGTCCATGGCCCTGTGCCCCTGCCGGCCCCGAGGAGCCCTGGCACGAGCCAGCCTGGGATGGACCACCCTGGGATGGACCAGCCTGGGATGGACCAGCCTGGGATGAGCCACCCTGGGATGAGCCAGCCTGGGATGAGCCAGCCTGGGATGATCACCAGCCCCGGAGACGGCGGCGCAGGAGGCACCCGGTAAGGGACAGGGCTGCGGGGACATGTCCCCAGGGAACATCAGAGTTTGTCAGGGAGACCCTCCCAAGTCACAGCAAGGAGCCCCTGGCTCACCAAACCGCATCCCCAAAACCAGTCTGGGCACGTCTGGATCCACTGGTGGCCCCCCAGGCTCAGTCAGGAGTTGGTGGCTTTCTAAATTCCCAAAAGGAGTCTGGAAATGGCAGGATCCAGATGTTCGTGTCCACAGCTTCCCCCTCCCACCAGGGTTAAGAATGGCAAAACAAATACATTTAAACAGGTTAAATGGATTATTTGTTTCCAAGGATGGCGATGTTGGACTAAAGGATCTCCTCCAGTTGTCTGCAGTGCTGTGAATGGGGTCCTGTATGTCCAATTAAATAAACCACAAAATTAGAACTTAGCAGCAGTTTTAATTGAGCAGCAATTTTATATAAAATGAATACAATTCAGTAAGCATGTAAGAAGTAAATTTGACAGTGATTTCAAGGCTGATTCCTTAATTATCCCAAGGCCTATTCCATTTTGGGATGTTACTTATCTCAAACTACATCCTGTATCCTATTTTCTCATGAACCACTGAAAACATCTGCTTTGTGACACTAATCACATATCCTTTTCATCTATTACTTGTTAACAAATATTTTCTAAAATATCAATATAGTCACAATGGTCAGCACCAATCACATTCATTTATCACAATGGTTATAGCAGGGCACTGCTAATTAAATCAATAGTTTCAAAGTTAATTAGCAATTACAGCTTGGATTGATGTCGCTCACCCAGACCCACACAAATCTCTTTAGCTCACTCCAGGAGTGACCCTGAAAGGAATCCACACTCACTCCTGGGAGGGCTGTGCTGGAAATTCCCCTGTTCAGAAGTGGGATTCAGCTTTTACAGCATGGAATGGTGGATGTTGGAGGATTTGTCCTTAAAAAAAGCAAATTTCTGCCCTCTGGTTCCTCCCAGGAACCGTCTGCCCCTGTTCCCTGCCAGTGCCAGCTGCTCTCGGGGTTTCACATCCTCCTGGGGTTTCGGTTTGGGGTGTTTGAGTCAGCTGCTCTCATTTTCACAGTGAGGTGAAATCGGGGCTGGTTCAGCCTCGTTGCGTCCTGCTGCAGGGGGGCTCACCCCAAACCCAGGGCAGGAGAGGCCCCGAGGGCCACAGCGGGGAGGGGGAGCGGCGAGAAACCCCCAAAATCCCAGCGGGCCCTGGCTCACCCTGGCTGTTCCCATTGCAGCCCAGACCCTTCCCTGGCCCTGGGGACGTCCCGTGGAAGGAGGAGGAGGAGGAGGACAGGAGGTGGGCACCCCACGGGTGTCCCCAGCCACCCCCCTGGGGTGACAGAGGAGCCCTCCCAGGCCCTGAGGGTGACTTTGGAGAGTGCTGGTACCAGGTGAGGGCTGCAGCCACGGGGGCATGGCTGAAATGGGGCAGGGGTCCCTCCGTTACTGCCCTGGTGACAAGGACAGTGTGTGGGGACCCAGTGCCTAAAATGGGGCAGGGGTCCCTTGGTGACAAGGACAGTGTGTGGGGTGGGGACCCTGTGCAGCCACAGGGGGCATGGCTGAAATGGGGCAGGGGTCCCTTGGTGACAAGGACAGTGAGTGGGGACCCCAGTGGCTAAAATGGGGCAGGGGTCCCTTGGTGACAAGGACAGTGAGTGGGGACCCCTGCAGCCACAGCGGGGGGGTCATTCCCTCAAGCCAGCCTGTCCCTGCAGGATCCAGTGCCGGAGCCCTGGCCCGAGTACCCCGAGGAGGAGCAGCCCCCGCCCCGGCCCCCCGCCCGCCCCGCAGGGTGGGTGCCACACCCGGGGGGACCCTGCGGGGTGACAGTGAGCGACACCAGCGCCGCTGCAAGCTGTCCCTGCCCGGGCTGGCGTGGCGCAGAGACCCCTCCCCAACCCGACCCCCCTCCCTGGGGCTGTGCTCCTGCAGGAATCCGGGGACGTTCCGCGAGCATCACCCGCCCTGGAGCCACCGCCCGGCCCCGAGGCCGCGGGGCCACCCCCGCCAGCTGATCCCGGTGCCCCGGGCGCGGTGTCCCCGAGCCCCCCGAGGTGTGTGCTGCCCCGTGCCGGCTCCTGGGTGCTCCCCAGCCTCTGCCAGGCCGGGCTGAGGAGGCTCTGCCGCTCTTTCCCACCCTGCAGGGCACAAGCCGCACTCGCAGCCCTCCAAGAGGAGCCAGCCCCTGGCCAGGAAGGAGCCCCCGGAGCCCCCCCAGCCCCCTGCTGCTCCCCAGGGTGCTGCAGAGAGGCTGCAACAGCCACGGGTGAGGGGTTTTACCTGTCCCCCCCATCCCACAGCGGGAGTGTGCCCACCCGAGCCCTGCACGCTGTCCTGGTTTCTGCAGGATGTGCCAGTGGGGGCTGGGGGTGTCCTGGAGCCCCCCAGTCCGGCCAGGAGCCCTCTGGAGAGCCCAGCTGCTGATCCTGGTGCTGCAGAGCTGCTGGTAGGAGATTCCCCCATCCCAGGGTGCTCCCAGCTCTGGCTCAGGGTCTCCTTGGCTGCTGGGACATCTCCCTCCTCTCTGATCCAGCCCTTCCCCTCCCCACCTCGCTGTCTCTTTGCCAGGCATGGAGTTTTGCCAGGCTTTTCTCCGTGGTTTCCTGTGGGTTTCAGCACCCTGTCCATCCCATCCCATCCCATGGATCCTGATCCATTCTATCCATCCCATCCCATCCCATCCCATCCCATCCCATTAATCCGATCCATTCTGTCCATCCCATCCCATCCCATCCCATCCCATCCCATTAATCCCATCCAATCAATCCCATCAATCCCATCCCATGGATCCCATCCCGTGGATCCCACCCCATCCCATCCCGTGGATCCCATCCCATCAATCCCACTCCATCCCATCCCACCCCATCCCATCCCATCCCATCCCATCCCATCCCATCCCATCCCACTCCATCCCATCCCATCCCATCCCATCCCATCCCATCCCATCAATCCCATCCCATCCCATCCCATCCCATCCCATCCCACTGATCCCATCAATCCCATGGACACCCCGTGGATCCCATCCCACACGTGTCCCCACGCCGTTCCTGTCCCAGGTGGAGCTGGAAGCTGGGCACCCCGCCGTGGGCAGCCGGGCTCAGGATCCCTGTGCTCCAGGAGCAGAGCCGGCCCCTCCAGAGGAGACCCCCAGGAATCCTGAGATCCAGGAGCGCCTTGAGGTATGGGACTGCTGGGAAGGGCTCAGGGTCAGCTCCAGGCTCCCCAAATCCTCCCCAGCAGCAGCTCACTGCTCCCCTGGGGATGTTTTCTGTTCCCACCCTCGAGCAGAGCCTGCAGGGAGGCACAGCCCGCTCCCAAACCCTTTGTCCCCTCGCTGTGGACTCCCCAGTGCCCCTGCACGGTGTGAGGGACTGATCCCACTCCTCCCAGAGAGTTTAATAAGAGGAAATAAATAAAGGACAAATGAGAAAAGCAGAAGTAGCAGTGCTGGGTGCCTGGCTGCAGCCAGAGGCACACACACTTTCAGCTGGCACTCCTCTGTGCCCTGCAGTTGCGTGACTTCCTCAAATTTCTTGTCACATCCTCAGGGCAAGCTGGCCACAGCTGTGCCCTGGATTGAATGAGGGTCCAGCAGTGCTGAATCCACTGCTGCAGGGTCTGAGGGTCCATCCAGGCACTCCTGGGTGCCCCCCCCGATGGTCTGATGCCACTTCAGAGCTGGCATTCCCTTTTTATGGTGTTTTGTTCTCTGCTTGTGCTGTCTTGGTTATATATTTTGCAGGAGGGGTTATCTCCTGTCACAGCCTTGCTTTGTGCACATTTTCAGTTACACAGCCAACAAAAGCGATTACAAACTTGTCTTTTGCCTAAAAGCAGTTACAATTTATAAACATATATATAATTTATAATTTTGTAATAACAATTTGCCAGAGCATTGCAGTGAAAGGCGAGTTTATAACACACAGGTGGAGCCGTGCAGCCCCGGTGTCCCCCAGGCTGGCAGCACTCAGGGCTCGCATCCCCAGAGCCCAGCAGCCCCTCCAGACCCTGCCAAGGGGGAGCTCCTGGACTCCAGCTCCTCTGGAGAGGCAGGGGCTGAGCTCAGCCCGCATTCCTGGCAGCAGCTGCCCCGAGGAGCTGGGGAAACTGAGGCAGAAGCTGCTCAGGATGGGGTGAGTTTGGGATGTGGGGCAGCTCTGTCCCCACCCCGCGAGGGCAGTGGGGCCGTGCTGCCAGCTCTGTCCCCCCAGCACAGCCACTCTGTGTCCTCAGCCTCTGCAGAGCCTTCAGCCTCCCGAAAACCCTCAGCTCCCTCCAGGACCTGCAGCAGAGCCCGAGGCCCAGCCCAGCCAGGCTTCACCAGAGACCTCCCCGGGGCCCCAGCACCCGCCTGGGGCCGGTGAGACAAACCTGGTACGGGGTCTGGGTGCCCCCCAGACACCCCCAGTGTCCCCCTGGGCTTGGGGACACTACCACGGCCAGAGGGGGGTCCCCGTGCCTGCAGGATGTGGGGTTAAAGGGCAGCTTTGTGTGGGGGCAGAGCCCGTGTCGATAACCGGGACACGGCTGGGAACAGAGCCAGGGGAGGAACCCGGGGCTGGGGGCTGCTGGAGCGTGAACAGCCCTGGCATGGAGCTCTGAGGAAGCCGAGGAGAGCCCTCCAGAGCAGCTTAATTACTGCTAACGAGGGGGAGAAGTTTGGGCAGAGGGGAGCAGAGGCACCCGAGGGAAGGGTGACAAACCAGAGTCTCCTTCCACAGGGTGACCAGTCCCGGGCTAGTGACCAGCACTGGCAGCCCCAGTTTGGCTCAGTCCCTTTCCCCTCTGAGCCTTCCTTGCCTTTTGCACCTCCCAGGCTGTGTGTGGCCAGCAGCAGCTCTGCCCTGTGCTGCCCACGCCCTTCCCGGCCGGCATCGATCCCCGCTCCGCCGCCGTCCTCAAGAGGAAGGCAAAGATCGAGCTGGTGAGTCCTGGCAGCCCTGCGTGGGCACCTGGGGGTCTGCGAGCAGCTCCAGGATGGGAATCTCACCTGGGGACCTTTGGGGGTGTGAATTTGATGTTTTGGGGGGCTTGCAGGGGGAGCTGCTGTAGGTTTGCAGGGGCTCGGATGATGTCTGGGGGTTTGTGGACTAAAAGCAGGGGTGGCTTGGTGCTGGCTTTGGGGTGCTGACCCCCTGGCCCTGCCCCGCAGTCGTACCAGCAGTTCAGCCTGAGCATCGCCGTGGTGGCCACCATGCTGCTGCAGAAGGAGCCCTCGCTGGAGGCGGCGCTGGGGCTGGCGCTCAGGGCCAACCTGCGCCAGGGCCGCCTGCACCACCTGCAGCAGCTGCAGGACTTCATCGACAGCCTGGACGCGGGCAGCCCCGGCCTCTGATGGCAGCCAGCCCCTCCTGCCAGCGGGCCGGGGGTGCTGGGGGCTGTGACAGCGCCGTGACAGTGCTGTGGGGTGCTCAGGAGGGTGCTGAGCCTGCGGGACAGGGTGGGAGATGCTGGTGTCTCTGGGAGAAGGAGGGTGAGCAGGGGATGTTTGGTTTTAGCCCTGCCCAAACCCCTGAGGGCAGCAAAAGTGTTACTGGTTTTACTGGAGGGAGGGCAGCAGTCCCTCTCCTCCATTCCTGATGGCCAGGGATGTGTCCCCAAACCCCAGGGAGTGTTTTTGGGTTTAAATCTACAAATAAACCGTGTCCTCTTTGCAGCCCTTGCTCTGTTCCCACCCTCCTGGGGCTGCAAGGGAGGGGTCCCACGGTGATCCCTGGCTGTGGCAGAGGGCACAGGTCACCCCCTGGGGACCTGCCAGCCCTGGTGGCACTGTCAGTGTCACAATGGGCCGGGAAGGAACAGGGCAGACCCTGCGTTCAGATTTCAGCCAGACTTTATTGCAGCTTCGTCACCGGCGGCAGCAGAGCCGCGCCCCGTGGTGGCAGCAGGACACGGTGCCACCAGGGATGGACAGGGGTGGCACTGGGGCACAGAGCAGTCCAGGGAAGGAGCCCCGGTGGTCCCCAGCAGTGGGGGGGTGCAGGCAGCTGCCCTTGTCTGCAGCTCAGCCGCTCTCCGAGGCCGGCCCGGCCCCGCTCCCGTCCTGCTTTACCCGTTCCTAATCACGGCAGGAGCTGCAGGTTCTGCTCTGCCAGCAGCTGCCGGGGGCAGGGATCCCAGCAGCTTCTCCCACCAGCCTTGGGCCGCCTCCAGGATGTGCTTGGAATGCGCTGGGGCCGTGGCAGGACCTGGCAGTGCCACTCGGGGAGCCCAGACCCGCCGTTAGGACACGCTGCAGTGCTTGGCCGTCCTGCCCCTGCCCCTCCCTGGGGGCTCCCTGCCCAGGGAATTCATCCCGGGCTTGGGGATGGGCTTCCCGAAAAAGAAACCCTCCTCCTCCGAGTCTGAGTCCGAAGATGAGGAGCAGGTGGGACACCAGGAGTCGTCCTCCTCCGTGCCATCCTCTGCCCGGGGGCTGTGTCGGGGAGCGGAGGTGCCCGCTTGGAGCTGTGCATTTCCACTGCCTGCAGCTCTTCGGGGTTCAGGGGCCCCCAAAAGCGGGTGGCCCGAGGCTCTGGGCTCGTTGGGCCCAGGCTGGGGGGCCGAGGGGTGGCCGGCTGGGGGTGCCAGCACCCCTGGGTGCTCCTTGGCAGCGTCGCTGCTCTGCTCCCGTGCGGCGGCTCCGAGATCCTCGGGGCTCCTGAACGCGGGGTGCACTGGGGCCTGATCCGAAAACGCCTCTGGAAGAGGGGAGGGGGGAGGAAGGGAGGAAGGAGAGGCTGAGCCTGCCCTCCCACAGCAAGGGCGGTCTCGGGACACAACGGGGTGGCACCACCCACTCCCAGCTCCCACCGTGGGGAGTTTATCACCAATTCCCATGGTGTGACGTTCCCAAAAAAGTCCTCAGAGCCTGGATTTGCTCCTGCTCCCCTCCCACCCCATCCAGCAGGATCCTACCAGCCCCAAAATCCCTGGATTTTCTCCCACCCCAAAAGAGCAGGATCCTACCAGCCCCAAAATCCCTGGATTTTCTCCCCTCACACCCCAAAAGAGCAGGATCCTACCAGCCCCAAAATCCCTGGATTTTCTCCCCTCCCACCCCAAAAGAGCAGGATCCTACCAGCCCCAAAATCCCTGGATTTTCTCCCACCCGAAAAGAGCAGGATCCTACCAGCCCCAAAATCCCTGGATTTTCTCCCACCCCCTCCAGCAGCATCCTACCAGCCCCCAAATCCCTGGATTTTCCCCCTGCCACCCCCTCCAGCAGCATCCTACCCTCCCCTTCCCCGCGCTGCCTGCAGCCCCCCGCGGCTCGGGGCAGGGCCGTGCAGTCGGGGGACGGCGCGGAGGCGAACGCCGAGTCGGAGGAGTCGGAGGCGGTGGAAGAGGCGTCCTGGCCGCGGCCGCAGGTGTCGGAGCAGAAGAGGCGGCCGCGGCGGCAGGTGAGGGGCTGGCCCCGCAGCGGGGCCCGGCACAGGCTGCAGCAGAAGCAGGCGGCTCGGGCGTGCCAGTGCAGCCCCTGGTGCGTGACCTGCTCGCTGTCGGCGCCTGCGGGGCAGCCACGGGTGAGGGGAAGGGTCTCCAAAACAAAAAAAACAATAAAACCCAACCAAAAACCAATAAAAACCACCAAAAAAACCCAATAAAAACCATCAAAAACCAATAAACACCACCAAAATCAATAAAACCCACCAAAAACCAATAAAAGCCACCAAAAACCAATAAAAACCACCAAAAACCAATAAACCCCACCAAAACCCAATAAAACTCACCAAAAGCCAATAAAACCCACCAAAAAAACAGTAAAAACCACCAAAAACCAATAAACCCCACAAAAAATCCCAATACAACTCACCAAAAACCAATAAAAACTGCCAAAAACCAATAAACCCACTAAAAACCAATAAACTCCACCAAAACCCAATAAAACCCACCAAAAACCAATAAAACCCACCAAAAACTAATAAAACACACCAAAACCCAATAAAACTCGCCAAAACCCAATAAAAACACACTCAAAACAAATAAACCCTACCAAAAACCAATAAAACCCACCAAAATCAATAAAAACCCACCAAAACCAATAAAAACCCACCAAAAACCAACAAAACTCACCAAAAACCAATAAAACCCACTAAAAACCAATAAAAACCCACCAACACCCAATAAAACCCACCAAAACCAAGGAAACCCCACCAAAACCCAATAAAACCCACCAAAAATCAATAAAACCCACCAAAATTCAATAAAACCCACCAAAACCCAATAAAACCCACCAAAAATCAATAAAACCCACCAAAACCAATAAAACCCACCAAAACCCAATAAAACCCACCAAAACCCAATAAAACCCACCAAAACCCAATAAACCCCGCCAAAAACCAGTAAAACCCCCCAAAAACCAATAAACCCCACCAAAAAACCAATAAAACACACCAAAAACCAATAAAACACACCACAACACAATAAAACCCGCAAAAAATCAATAAAACCCACCAAAAACCAATAAACCCCACCAAAACCAAATCAGACCCACCAAAAACCCACCAAAACCCAATGAAACCCCACCAAAACCCAATAACCCCCCCCAGAACGCGTGCTGGCAGGGCCCGGGCGCCCCGCGGGGCGGCGGCCGTACCGATGGGGTCCCCGCAGGCCTGGCAGGGCTCGGCGAAGAGGCTCTCGAAGCAGCCCCGGCAGCAGGGCCGGCCGCTGCGCATGACGTAGCGCTGGCCGCGCAGGGGCTCGTCGCACTCCAGGCAGCAGAAGTGCTCCGGGTGCCAGCGCCGGCCCTCGGCCTCGATGCACTCCTCCATGAAGATCAGCTGGAAGGGGGGGAACGAGCGCCAGGCTCTCAGCGCGCCGCTGGGAACGCCGTGGCGCTTCGGTGCGCCGGGCCCGCAGCCCGTGGGGGTCTCAGGAGGGAACATTCCTCCAGCCCATCGGTGGTTTTGATGGATTTGGAGCCCGGGGGTGTTTAACAGCCAAAGGCAGGTCAAAGGCTCTCCCTGCCCGGCACCCACCTGGTCGCAGGAGGCGCAGCGGGGTCGGAAGAGCTCGGCGTGGTGCCGGCCGCAGTAGATCCTCCCATCCTGCTGGAAGTAGATGAGATCCACCAGCTGCTGGTGGCAGAAGTGGCAGGAGAAGCAGGACGGGTGCCAGAAGTGGTCGCCCAGGCGAGACGCTGAAATCCCCGGGTCGCCTTTGTTCAGCCTCCGGCCGCACTGCAAGGAGGGGGACACGGGGGTTTGGGGCAGGGCTGGCTTCTGGGGATGGGTCCCTGGCAGGGAACGGGAGCTGGAGGGGACACCTCACCTTCCTGCAGGGACAGCCGTGGCAGGGACCCGGCACGGGACACGCCAGGCCCTGTCCCTGAGCCTCCTGTCTGCGGCGGGCGCTGAAGGCGCGGAGCTGGCGCCGCTCCTCCTCGGCGAGGCCGGGGCAGTACCGCTCCTGTGGGGCACGGCGGTCAGGGGCTGCCCTCTGAGCCCTTGGGGGTTTGGTTTTTTATCTTTTCCATACATTTATAATCCCGTGATTCTTTAGTGTGTGACTCTAAGCTCCACACGCAGTGTCAGATTTTTGGGCAGACACAATTCCTCTCCAGGCCTAGGAATCAAGGACACCTCACTGCCTCAGGCCCGGGAGATGGAAACAAAAGCGAGTTGGGGGAGCAAATTGGGGGGTCAATGACTTCATTACCTGAAGCTGTAATTGGAAAATTAGCCCCCAATATGCAAATGGCCCAAACTTATAAAAGTTCAAAACTACTCAAACAGGTGAAACCCATGACCCATGGTCCATTTTTGGGTGGGCTTCATCTGCCCTAAATGTATCTCAAGGCCCTCCAATAAACAAATCTGCTTTTTATCCCCTTAATTTGGCCTGGCCTCTGTTTTTAGGCATCTCCACAGCAGGAGAGCCCGGGGAGGGGGCAGCAGCCGAAGGAGGGGTCTCACATCGCAGTCCTGGGGCGGCAGCTGCTGCAGGAGGGCTCTGGCGCGGAGCCGGCTCCGCTCCGAGGGAGAGCCCGGCGGGGGCCCGAAGCACGGCGGGACCTGGGGACAAACAGCCATGTCAGAGGGGATCAAATTGTGTTTATGGCAATAAAACGTGCGTTTAACCCCAGAAATGAGGCGCTGCGGTGTGGGAGCCACGCGGGGCTGGGGAGAGCGGGGACTGCCCACCTCGGGGGGCTCCGGGTACTCTTCCAGGGCACAGCCGGAGTCGCTGTCGGACGAGGCCGGGGGGAGGCCCCCGGTGGTGCCGCAGGGAGAGGGCTCGTCCCGCTGGGGCCATGCAGGGCTCGGCAGGGACATCCGCTGGGGACAGAGCACCGGGGTCACACACGGGGCGGGGAGCAGGGATCCAGCCCTGGACACGGATCCGGTGTCCCTGCGGCAGCAGGACAAGCAGGCCTTGTCCCTCAGAGGGACACTGGGCCACGTCCAGCTGGATGATGCTCCAAGGCACCACGGCCTCGAGATCTTTGGCTGAACACTGCGGGAATCCAAGGGATTTTTGGGGGAGTTCCTTTCTCTTTGGGGGTTACAGTGAACCCACACCAATGGTAGCTGGCAGGGCTGGGGCTTTGAGCGGGATGGGATGGGATGGGATGGGATGGGATGGGATGGGATGGGATGGGATGGGATGGGGGTGGGATGGGATCCATGGCATGGGACGGGATCCATGGAATGGGATCCATGGGATGGGATCCATAGGATGGGAATGGGATGGGATGGGATCCATGGCATGGGACGGGATCCATGGGATGGGATGGGATCTGTGGGATGGGATGGGATACATGGGATGGGGATGGGGATGAAGCCAGGCAGGGAAGACCCCAAATGCCCAAGCTCAAACTGGAACAGGCTTTGGAAAACAGCAACACCCACAGCAGGAGGTTTCCCCCAGATGCCACAGCTAATCCCGGGTCTAGTGGCCCATCCCTGAGTGGGAACAGTCCGAGGCTGAGCCCAGCTCAGTGGAAAATAATTCCTTCCCCTCGGGCTGCCATTGTTCTGCCCAGGGCTGTTCCTGCCCGGCTGTCCCAGCCCACAGCACACGCCTGGCTCGGGGTGAGGCGGTGGAAACCCATCTGGAGCCGTCCCCTCCTCCCCAGGCGGGCTCTTTCCAGCGCCGCGCTTCCTTCCTGCCCCGGCTTCCCAAAACAAAGGCGAGGTGCTGATGTGGTGGCTCCTGGGGTTCCCTGGATGCCAGCCCAGAGCCTGACGGCCTCAGCCCGCGCTTCCTGCCCTGCCACGGGGAGCCAGGCTGGGATGGAGGGGGGAAATCACGGGGCTGTGATCCAACACGCCCAGGGATTCACCCCTGCAACGCCCACCACGGATGGATCAACCCCTCTGGAAAATGTTCCAAATGTTCCATGCACAAAACGGTCTCAGGGATGAGGGGTGGGAACCCCCACAGCACGAAATTTTGGCTCTCCCAACACTTCTGCCACCACGAGGATCCATTCCCTGCTGGTGTGTCCCCCCTGCCAGGGACATCCCAGTGTCCCCAGTGCTCCCAGCAAGCACCTCCAGCCCTTCCCGAGGCTGCTGGGCTGTGGCCGGGAGCAGTGGGATCAGCCGGGGCAGCTCAGGTTTCCCTGCCCCGCTGCCGGGTCAATGATTAACGCCGCAGATCTGCTAATCAGAGAGATAAAACAAAAGGCCTGCTGGCTTTTTCCTGCCGTTTGGGGTCTGGAACCCCGGGGCAGCCCGGGGGGGACGCAGGGCTGGTTGTGGGGTGTTGTTCAAAGCTGTGCTTTGGGATAGGGATGAAATAATCTGGATTTACTGTGTGTTTGCTGCCCAAAAAGTGCCTTGCTGGCTTGGTGAGGGACCACAGCAGGGCCAGGGAGGAGCAGGGCTGGGGGAGACCCTGGCACGCCGAGTGGGGACCCTGGTGTGCAGCCCCAGCTCTGCTGCTGCTGGTTTGGGAAAGGTGCCCCCATTTCTGCCTCCCGCGGGAGGTGGGGGCGTTCCCGGGCTCATTAAGCCTCCAAGCTGCATTTGTGTAATCTCCTGGAACCGTGCTGTTAATTAGACCCCTGCGATGCTCTGGGGACTCGGGGGGGGCTGGCAGTGCCAGCCCCGAGGGGCACCGGGACCCCATCCCAAGGCACGGGGGGGTGACACCGGGGGAGGGCGGCTCGGGCCGGGCTCCCGGCTGCTGGGAACGCGCGGGGATGTGCCGCAGAGCCCAGCCCAGCCCGGTTTGATGCGATTACGCCGGCTGGCAGCCGTCTGGGCTGTAAACAAGTCCCTGTAATTAGCCCCAGACGGTGACAGAGGTACGCGCCTCCCATGCTAAAGAGGCAGGCAGCCCCGACAGGTCTGGCTCCTCTGCTCCCCGGGCCTGTCCCCTCTTCCTTCCTGCCCTCCCTCGCTGCCTCCGGGCGCTGCTGGTGCCTCCCTTCCCTGCCGGGGGGCACGGGGATGCTCCCAGCCTTGGCACCGTGCTGGCACTCTGGGGGAGCTGCCTCTCCCTGCCAGCCAGCCCCCGAGAAGGGACGAGTGACAGACCAGTCGGGCGGGCTGGGTGGCACTGCCTGGCATCGCCTTGGCTGCAGATCCTCTGTCCTGCCGGTGGGAGCTCCTCCGGATGCGTTTTTGCCCGCGCTCCCCTGGCTCTCCAAAGCATCGGAAGCCGTCGCGGCTCCCTGGGCACAAAGAAGCTGAAATTCCTGGGAATACTAATCTGATTTGGCTCGGCGGGAGCAGCCCCCGTCTCCAGCTGGCTGCGGGAGCCCGTGCGGGCTCGCAGCCCTCTGCTGCCAAGGTCACACATTAACTCGCGGCTCAGCCTGCTCGGAATTCAGCCCAGGCTCCCTGTGGAGCCGCATCCCTGCCTCCAATTTCCTTCTGTGTTTCCCCAGGGAAACAGAACCTCTCCAAAAAGCCCCTCAGAGCAGCACTGGCAGCTCGCAGGGGCGCAGCTCCGCGCTGGCCTCACCCACGGGATAACCTGTTTGTGCTTGAGCTCCCGTCAACACAGCTGCGCTGCAGGAGCAGGAAAAAAAGCCGGGGAGCAACAAAGATGCAGAGCAATAAAGATGCAGAGCAATAAAGATGCATCTTTTGGGGCGAGATAAGCCGAGGGCTGGCAAGGAGAGCCGGAGCAGCAAGTCCTGCCCGACCGGGAGCCGGTCGCACCGAGGAGCCCACGGTGCCTTTTGGACCTGGGGTGGCACCGGGTGGAGCAGCCCGTGGTGCCACCGCTGGGCACAGCAGAGTGGTGGCGTTAAAAACGCCTTTGCAGCCCCCCAAATGATGGGGGAGGGTCTCAGCGTCCTGCTCTGCCACTCTGCCCCCTGGCACCAGAGGGGACCGTGCCCTGCTGGCTCACCGGGGGATGTGCCAGCGCTGCCAAGGGCTTTTCCTGCTGTGTTTTCGCTCCGTCCCGCAGGCACGGCAGGGAGCTGGAACCCCTTAACCCACCCTGGCTCGCCCATTCCTGCACCCGCAGGTACGGACCGAGACCCCCGCCCCTCCTCTCCCTGCGGCCACCGGGATGGAGACTCGCGACCCCTCCTCTCCCCAGTGGCCACGGGAAGAGGAGGGACGCCTCACTCCACCCTCCCCGCGAATGAAGACCCCTCACTCCACCCTCCCCGCGACCACCGGGATGGAGACTCGCGACCCCTCCTCTCTGGTGACCACCACAGCGAAGGCCCCCACCCCTCCCTGTGGCCACCAGACTTCACCCCGGCAGGTCCAAGGGGTCCCAGCTCCATCCCCGACCCCGGTTTAACCCGTTCCCGGCCAGCCCCAGCCGCAGCAGCGATGGTGGAAGCAGCGCTGTGCCCGCGCACCTGCCCGCTGCGGGCTGGCAGAGCCTGGCACGATGGAACGGGCGTCACCTCCTGCTCTCAGGGGACACTTCCCGAAAACAAAGACCGCGGGGACAGCGATATAATCTCCAAACAGCCCAAACCCCCCTGCTCCGCCTCATCCCCGTCCCCTTCCCCTCGCAGCAGCACCCTCCCGCTGCCCCCTCCTCTCCACCTCCCTCTCCCCCACCTCCATCTCCCCTCGGAGCCGGGCGAGCCGAGCCCGGCAGCCCCCTCAGTCCCTTCCAGTGTCACTTTTAGCCGTACCTGCCCCTTCCCGGCGCTCCGGGCCCCGCTCTCCGCCGCTCCGGGCTCGGCCGCCCGCTCCAGCCCCGCGCCGGCCGCCGCCGTCCCGCCCTGCTCCGGAGCACGCCAGGGAATGGAGCCTGGCCTGGGAAAACTTTGCAAAGCGAAAGGAAAACATCCAAGCTCAGGCAGGGAAACACTTTTTTTTTTTTCCTTTCTTTCCTCTCTCTCTTTTTATTTTTTTTCCCCTGCCTGCCCAGGCACTGGCTCCGCGGCAGCCGGGGTCCTAATTAGAGGCTTTTTAGCCTAAACCTCGGGAGCCAGCCAATGGCTGGAATTCCAGGGCAGGCAGGGAGGGGAAGGGGGGGGAGGACATTAACCCTACAGGGGAAGGAGCTGCCGATGACATCTGCCTCGCTCCTACCTCTCATTTCCCGAGCGCCCGCGCCCTGCCCTCCATCTGCGGCTCGGTTCACCCCAGGTTGCCGTTTGATGACTTTTATGATCCCGCGCGGTGATTTATTTCCCTGCCGAGATCAGAAAGACTTGAAGCTTCATGAAAGAGGGGGAAGTGTCATTACACCCCAATTTAGAGGTGGAGAAACTCCGGCTGGGCTCTCACAAAGGAGTTAGCCAGCGGCAAGTCAGGATGTCCCAGTTTCCACAAGCCCTGCGCACCTGACGAGGCTCCTCGAGCCATCCCAGACCGGCTCCGGCTGCAGCAATTCCACCCGGGCAGGACTCAGGGGAAAATTTCTCAGAGCCAGACGCGAGGCACAGCGTCCTGCTTGTGTTTCTCACCGTGCTGTAAGATTTTCCTGCCCGCTGATGTGACTCTGGGGACGAGAATTGTCACAGCATCCCCAAAAACCCTGAACATCTGCAGGGGCCGGGCTGGATCTGTGCCACCTGCGTGGTCCCGGAGCTGTGGCTGGGTTTGGGAGCCCTGAGGGGTGCAGGTGGCTGGTGCTGCTGCTGGGATCGGGGCTGGGGCAGCAAAGGGCACAGGGGTGGTGGTTTGGAGGTGCCAGGCTCCGTGGCACCGCTGGGTGAGGCAGGGCAGGGCGGTGCTGGGGCACAGGTTGTGGTGCTGCTGCTTTATGGAAGTGGTTGCTCCATCCCTGGAAGTGTCCGAGGCCAGGCTGGGTGGGGTTTGTGATGCTTTCTTGGGATTTTGGCTTTTATCTTTTCCATACATTTATAATGCTGCAGTTCTTCAGTGTAGAACTCCAAACTCCATACACAGTGCCAGCTGCTGCTTCCCCATTTTACAAAACCTTTCCTCTCCAGGGAATCAGGGACACCTCCCTGCCTCAGGCCTGAGAGATGGAAACAAAAGTGATTTATTTGGGGGGGAGCAAACTTGGGGTCAGTGACTTCATTACCTGAATCTGTAATTTGAAAATTAACCCCCAATACACAAATGACCCAAACCTTATAAAAGTGTGAAACCCCATGACCCGTGGTCCATTTTTGGGTGGGCTCCACCTGCCCTAAATGCACCTGAAGGCCCTTTAAAAAACAAAACTGCTCTTTATTTTCCAATTCTATTTGCTCTCTGTTTTTAGGTAGCCTGGATACCCAAACATCCAGGTACCTGCATACCTCCCACCTGGAGCAGCCTGGGACAGTGGGAATTGTCCCTGTCCGTGGCAGGAAAGCGATTTTTAAAGTTTCTTCCAGCCCAAACCTTTTGGGGATCGTCTGCACAATCCCCTGAGCTGGGGGAGAATCGGGAGGAGGAGGAGGAGGAAGAGGAGGAGGAGGAGCTGGCACTGCCCAGGCTCCCTTTGATGTCCCCACGCTGTTTTTCTGCTGTCACCCACTCCGAGCTCGGTCCCTGCAGCTTTACCCTGGCCCGGAGCTGTCTGGACTTTGTCCCCGCGGGTGGTGACAGGGCCCCCCTCGTCCCCCGCTCCCCCCAGGCCGGACGGATCCCTGGGCAAAGTCCTCTGGGCACGGGGGGACAGGCAGGGCACCGCGGCTTCCCGAGTGACACCTAGAGTCTCCGTCTACTGCAGACCCCCCAAATCCCCCCGGGCCCCGGGAAGGGCCGGGCCGGGGGCCCCGACGCGCTCCGTGCTCCGGGAAGGGCCGGGCCGGGGGCTCCGGGCCGCAGGTCCCGGACGGCGGAGCCGGGAGCGCCTCAGGTACCGAGCAGCGCCTGGAGCGGGCCGGGCATCGCCCCCGTCCCTCCCCTCGTGCCCTCCCCGGCTGCCCCGGCCGCCCCTCGCAGCCCATTGCCCGGAGCCCCCCGGGACTCGCCCCTTCCTCAGGCCCCTCGTCCCCACGGGCTCTGCAGGCCCGTCCTGCGCCCTCCATTCCCTCATCCCTCCATCCCCGTCCTCATCCCTCCATCCCCATCCTCATCCCTCCATCCCCATCCTGCCCCTCATCCCTCCATCCCTGTCCTGCTCCCTCCATCCCCGTCCTCATCCCTCCATCCCCGTCTTCATCCCTCCACCCCCGTCCTGCTCCCTCCATCCCCGTCCTGCTCCCTCCATCCCCATCCTGCTCCCTCCATCCCCATCCTGCTCCCTCCATCCCCTCATCCCTCCATCCCCGTCCTGCTCCCTCCATCCCCATCCTCATCCCTCCATCCCCTCATCCCTCCATCCCCGTCCTGCTCCCTCCATCCCCTTCCTCATCTCTCCATCCCTGTCCTCATCCCTTCATCTGGCTGGGCTCTTGGGGTGGTTTTAGGGACTGGCTGGGCTCTTGGGATGGGGTTAGGGACTGGCTGGGCTCGTGGGATGNNNNGTTAGGGTTAGGGTTTAGGGTTAGGGTTAGGGTTTAGGGTTAGGGCTGGGCTCTTGGGGTGGTTTTAGGGACTGGCTGGGCTCTTGGGGTGGGTTGAGGGACTGGCTGGGCTCTGGACTGGCAGGCAGGTGTGGGGAGGTGAGCTGGAAGTGCAGAGCAGGATTCTGGAGAGTCGGGAGTCTCGGTGGCTGTGTGGAAGGAATGCTGCTGAGGGAGGGCTCGGGGAGCTCCTGGTGGTTTTTTACTTCATTTGTTCAGTTCTCAGTTCTCAGTGTCCTTGCTGAGCCACAGCACTTCAGCTGACCCCTCACAGATGGGGTGGAGGGAGAGGAGTGGAGAAACAGGAGAAAAGGCAGAATGTTTTCTCCCAGCTCTTATTCCTGAGAGAATTGCTGAGGTGGGAGTGGGAGAGCCCAGGCTGAGAGGGGAATAAATCCCTGCAGATTTAGGAGCAGCAGCAGCAGGCTGGGGCAGGGTGTGGGGTGGCACGGGGAAGGTGTGGTGCTGCTCTAGGGCTGGCAGGTGTGTGCAGGAGGGCAGCTGGCACCGCCTTTTGTTTGTTCTCAGCTTGCACAGAAAGAAACTTTCCTCTCCTGGGCACTTGGCAGGGCTGGGGCACGGTGGGGAATTCTCCAGGGGCCAAAGGGAAGGCACAGAGCTGCAGTGGGAGGTGATTTATGGGGCTGTTTTGATGTGAAGTGGAATGGGACCCTTGGGCAGCTCCAGTGGGGCTCTTCCCCCTCCCTCCACACTGGAAGGGGCCCAGGGCAGCTCTGCCACTCTGAGCTGGGTTTCACTGGGAGGAGGGGGAGGCAGCCTGGCACAGGGAGAGGGGAGTGGAAAGAGATTTCCAATGGAAAGGGATTTCCAATGGAAAGAGGGTCCCAAATAAAGAGGTTCCAAATGGAAAGAGATTTCCAATGGAAAGGGATTTCCAATGGAAAGAAGGTCCCAAATAAAGAAGTTTCCAATGGAAAGAGGGTCCCAATGGAAAAAGGTTTCCAGTGGAAAAGTTTCCAGGGGAAAGAGGTTCCAAATGGAAAGAGGGTCCCAAATAAAGAGGTTTCCAATGGAAGGGGATTTCCAGTGGAAAGAAGGTCCCAATGGAAAGAGATTTCCAATGGAAAGAAGGTCCCAAATAAAGAGGTTTCCAATGGAAAGAGGTTCCCAATGGAAGGAGGTTTCCAGTAGAAAGAGGTTTCCAATGGAATAAACTTTCCAATGGAAAGAGGTTTCCAGTGGAAGGAGGTCCCAGATAGAAAGAGGGTCCCAAACAGAGGTTTCCAGTGGCAGGAGGGTCCCAAATTGCCATTCCTGCCCTGGTACCGGGCTGGGGATCCTGGTGGATCAGAGGGAGACCCTGAGCTGCTCTCAGGGCACACCTGGCATCATCCCCTGTCACCTGCCCAAGTTCCCATCAGGGACAGCAGAATTTCCCATTTCTCACTACAATTAAAAAAAAAAACAACCAGGAGTTTTTCTCAGTGTGAGTGCAAACCACAGGAGCATTCCTCCCTGCCTGATCCTCGCCCTGACTGGGTCACATATCAGAATTTTTGTGTTTTCTGGGTCAGATATCAGAGTTTTTGTGCTTTCTGGCCTTTTTTTGTTGCTTCTCCTACTCCAAAGCAGAGCAGCTGCTGGTTCTCTGACCCTGAAGGACCTTCCCTGCAGTGAAGGCACCTTCACATTCCTCAGCAGCAGCAGCTGCCTCACCACCCCTGGCTGCTCAGTTTTATTTCCTTCACCCTGCTAAACCCCACTCCTCTGTAGAATCCCAAAGCCAGGAAATAAAATATCTCTCATTTGATTTTTTTAAAATTTATTTTGAGCTGTGTATTTTTCATTGTTGTGCGGAGTTTTCTGTGTTGATATAAATGTAATTAATTAAACACAAAATGCACCTGCTTTCCTTGGGTTGTCTGAAGGGAAGTTCAGTCACTCTCCCACTCCCTGCTTTTTAATTTTCTCTGCTTTTATCATTGTTTAATTGTGTTCTTCTTGCCAGGTGGAAGATGGGAGTGTTCCCCTCATGTTTTAGCTGAAACTCCTTGCCATGAAATCCTGAGGGAGATAGAGGGACTGCAGTGGGAATTCCTGCTCGCTCCTCCACAACAAATCCAACAACTGCCTAATGGTAAGTTAGGTAAAACCTAATTGGTTTTAATTAACATTTATGACTTTAATCAAGGAGCAGAGCAAAGAGCTGGAGCTCCACTGGGATGGGGAGGGCACAGCTGGAGGTGCTGGGAGAGCTGGATTTGGGATCTGATTGTGCCACCCTTTGTGTCCTGTCCCCAGGGATTGCCTCTCTGCCTGGCGTCATGGGGAGCTGCTGCAGCTGTCTGTGCACAGACAGCATCCCAGACAACCATCCCACCAAATTCAAGGTAAAGTTTTGCCTTTCCAGCCCCATCAGAGGGTCTGGGACAGCTCTGACTGCACGAGGGGAGAGCAGACTCCTGCCCCTGCTCACAAACATCCTTCCAGGGGATTTGCAGATTCATCACTTCTGGTTTGGGGTTTTTATTTCCCCCCTTTCCTTAAGAAACTCCTGCTGAAAATGTGTTTGTATTTGCTGCTAAATCACCTCTGCTTGGGAAATGCAAGGAAATGGGGGACTGGAGAGAAAAACCTTTCATTGCTCAGGGCTGTGTGCCAGCCCTGAGCTCCTGCCAGCCACAGATCCCTGCTGGCAGCTGGGAAAAAGGCAGCAGGAAAAGGGGGAATCCATGGAATTGCAGTGCTTGGGGCTGCTCAGGGACACCTGCAGCTCTGGGACACGCTGCAAGGGACACGTGGAGGGGCTGCAGGGGAGGGAGTGGAGCTGCAGCACCTGGAGAATCCTGAGGGATCTGGGAAGGGGCTCAGCCTGGAGAAAAGGAGGCTCAGGGGGAATTCTGGCCTTCATAGGAGGGGACAGCCAGGGGGATTTGGGGTCTTATCCCAGGGAACAAGGACAGGAGGATTGGAACAGCCACAGGGTGGGTCAGGGGATATCAGCGATGATGAGAGAGACAGGGAGACTGAGAGATGGTCAGAAAAGTCCAAATTTATTGTGGGCTAAAAGTCCAAATTTATTGTGGACTAAAAGTCCAAATTTATTGTGGACTAAAAGTCCAAATTTATTGTGGACTAAAAGTCCAAATTTATTGTGGACTACCTATGCTAATGTACTGTTTCAGGAAGGGTGGTAATGTTTTACTACAATGATTGAGTTAATCATCACATGAACAAACTTCAGCATTTTACAACATCTCTCGCTGGCAGAAATCTTGATGTAATTTTCTTATCCAGTAAAAGTCAGCCTGGTTTCATCTTCTTGCAGTCTTCAAAGCTGTTTGTTCTTGCCAAGGCATCCTGATTATCAAATCTCTTATGCTAACCAGGTCCAAAGTCTTGTGTGTCCCAAAAAGGGGAGGTTTAGGCTGGAAATCAGCAGGAATTTCCTCATGGAAAATCGGGTGGTCAGGCCCAGGGAGTTCCCCAATGTGGCAGCAGCTCTCTGGCCACAGAGAGAAACACACAACTTTCCCAAGCATTGTTCTGGCAAGGCACAAAATGCCAAATATCTCTTGGTACAAGGTCTTTTAAGGCTAAACTCTCCACTTAAGAAATGACACCTAGATTATTTTCCCTTTTAACCCAAAAACTGATCCCTCAAAGTCCACAATTGTGGAAAAATCCATGTGGATTTTTCTGTCCAATTACAAAAAACACCCCAACCCGTGGAGAAGAAGGAGGAAGAAGGTGAAGAAGGTAATAAGGAACAACCTGCCTTCACCCTAAAACCTCCATCTTCCTTCATATTTATTTCTGTATTCTAAAATCCCAAACTCTAAATTTTCCACCACACTTCTGACCAACTCCACACCTTTAATCCCAGTGCTATCAATCAGTTTTGGAAATCTCCACAGCCCCAGGTCACATTCAGTGTTCTCATGTGGATCTGTGCCCCTCAGCACAGAAAGCCCAAAATTCTCTTAAGAAAATCTAAAATTCTCAACATCCAGGGTTCCGAGAACTGTCTACAAAAACATGAGGTTCTTAATAATGAAAAATATGAGTTTCTTAATAAAGAAAAGGATCAACCTCCTGTAAATGGGTGGAGTCTCCATCAATT